AGTGGCCGCGAGGTCCTGGTATGTCCCCTCAGCCCTTGTTCCCGCACAATCCCCCTAACCCCAAAGAATTATTTGTTCTTGGGGTTTGGGGAAGTCTGGCGGTGGATGAATTTCACTTTGATGGTCTCCATGGGACGGACGACCACCACGGCCTCGACCACGCTGGAGCCCAGGCCACGCAGCAGCCCGAACCTGCTGTTCAGCAGTCCATGGGCATCCCACATCTGGGTGCCGAGGAATTCGAACTTCCCGAACCTGACGCTGCCTCGGAAATGGAGCGGGAGGGCAGAGAGCTGAGGCTGCTGTCCAGGCCCAGGACGCCATGGCTGTCACTGTGCCCCACAGGCCCCCATGCCCAGTGCCCGGCGGGGACGAGCGCTCCTAGGTCCTCGCGTGCTCGGTAGGAAACGGAATATAGGTGTAGATGCGGCCCGGCAGGCCGCCTGCCATGGTGATCGCCTTCCCCGGGGGTGTCCCCTCGGCCTTCCTTCCGGGAAGCGGCGTGGCAGGAGAGGTGACTCCCGGCGTCACCTCGGTCGGAGCCTCCTGAACTCCGCAATCCAACTTTACTTTGGTTTTGACACAAATAAAGATCTCACATAAATATAAAATGGGATGTCTTGGCTTGTAATTTTTGTTGAAAGCAATAGTATTGTTGTATAGGATAGTGTATTGGAGTAAATAGGTTTTTATTTTTGTTTTCATCAGCTCACTGACATTGATAGAGGATAGTTTTTAGGTTATTGATGAGCAGTTCTCCCTCAGGTACGCCTTAGGGTAGGGGTTTGTGGTCACATAGTTGAGAGGTAGGCTGGGATTAGAGTTTGTTACAGCAGCAATATCCTGAGAACCAGGGAATTCAAATCCTTCTCATGACACTTTGGTAATACCGCCCAGGCTTGCTGTGCCTTCCCTTTGTGCTGCTTACTGGAAATGGTCTCTTGCATTTGGCCCAGCTGTGATGTGTTCCATTGTTGTTTTTATTCCGTGCTGCTTAGCCTGGTGGCAGGGGTGAGGGATGAGGAGATCTCTGATGTTCTGAGGAAGCCTCACACTCAGCACTGTGAACTGGGGTGTGGGGTGACTGACCTTCAAAGTGTTTCCTGCCCCTCCTGTAGAGGCAATGCCAGCACAAGAGCACATTCCCATCCCTCCCCCAGTGGTAGAGAGGCTCCTTGTCCATGTTCCTAGCTTCCAGTTGAAGTGGGTCTGCAACAGTGCCCTGTAAATTAACGCTTTCGTTTCTTTATGGGAGATGTATCTGGGCAGAGATGTGGGTGTTGACCTTGTTTCTCCACCATCAGTTGCAGTGAGTTTTTTCACAGTTCCCTCTGGCTCAGGATTGGATGCTCTTTCCCTGCAGATCGGGCCTTGTGTTCTATAGGAGAAATGGGAAAGCTGTGTCTCCAGAGTTGTAGCAGTGGGTGGGATAGTGGTCCCTCCCCATCAGCACCATGGGGGAAGCATTCTCAGGATTCTACCCCATTCTTCCTGCCAGGCCTTGTACAGTTCCTAGAAAAATTGTACACAAAAGTGTAAACCCTATGTCTATAGACTCCAGGGTTTCTCGTTCTCCTTCACCCACCCAAACACAGCCACCAGGACTAGTTCAAAAGTCCTGCTTTAATTTTACTAGTTTCCATGGTCTTCCAGGTGCACATAAAAGCCTGGTGCCTGTGTGACCTGCAGGCTCCTGCATGCCTGTTGTTGGACCTCAGTTCTCCAAAGGGCTCAGAACAAGCCATTCATTTATTTGCAGTTTCTCCAGCTTTTTTGTTTAATGTAGGAGCAACTCTTTGTCAGGTCTCTATATCTACAAACTTAACTCATACACTAATATTTTTAAATACATTTCTTTCCTATCCTACTTTTAGTGCTGCTCTACCTATGCTAATTGTTATTCAGTACTTTTTGTCTTTAACACCAGGTTTAATTCCTTCTTAAACTAATTTGTAACTTTTCTGTTTTCTTCCATTTCATTTATTTCCCTATGTGACTTTAATTCTTTTCAGACATTTAAATCATTGATGTGTAATTCCAGTGTAGGAGGTCAGATTATACACTGACATTTCTCCTTGACCACTGGTTATAACACTTCAGCCCTGATGACAGTTATACTTGAAGCCAGATCCACTCTTGAGATGTATTTATTTTACTATTCAATAAAAATTAAATCATCATGAACTGTATTTTATTAATAGTTGTAGGCTTTATGGACCTGAAAATACAAAAAATAAAAACAAAATTACATGACCTCAGGGGGTAACATTTGTTTGGTTAATTAAAGCATTTTTGTCTTTCTGTGATTTGCAACCTTTAGTTATCACCTTGAAATACGAAGCAGAGTTGAAACTAAAGTAGTAAGTGTTGGTGAGATTTTGATGGCTAAGAACTTGGAGCTCATTTTGTAACTGAAAGGGAAATAAGAACACGTGTCACCGGTTCCATATGATCACAATGCCTTTGGAATAATCACCAAGGCAACAAGTGACTTACATTTCAAGAGAGAAGAATTGGAATTAAAATGACCAAGTATAAAGCTGACCCAAGGGCTGGGCATGGTGGGTCATGCCTGTAATACCAGCAGTTTGGGAGGCCAAGGCAGGCAGATCACCTAAGGTCAGGAGTTCGAGACCAGCCTGGGCAATATGATGAAACCCCGTCTCTAATAAAAATACAAAAAATTAGCAGGGCGTGGTTGCGGGTGCCTTAATCCCAGCTACTTGGGTGGATAAAGCAGGAGAATCTCTTGAACCCAGGAGGTGGAGGCTGCAATGAGCCAACATTGTGCCACTGCACTCCAGCCTGGAAGACAGGGTGAGACTCAGTCTCAAAAGATGGATGGATGGATGGATGGATGGATGGATGGATGGATGGATGGACAGAGCTGACCCAGTCTGACTTGGATCTTTGTCTTTAACACTTACCTGCAATACTCATGTAGGCAGTGTGTAAATAACTTGTAAGCAATATTGATGCCCAGGTTCTTCTTGAATTTTCAGGGTTTGGTTTCTCCAGTAGTGACGTGTGTTACTGGGCAAAAGGTCCTTGCTATCCTATGCACTGAAGTCAATACTATGACAATGAATTTTTCTTTTTAGAAAAAAAACCTTTTTGTTGTAATTTTTGTTTTGTTTTAAAATGTTTTTATTTCAATATCATTTAGGGTACAAGTGATTTTTGGTTAAATGGATGAATTATATAGTGTTAAATTCTGAGATTTTAGCGCACCCATCACCTGAGGTGTACACATTGTACCCAATAGGTAGTTTTTTTAATCTCTCATCTACCTCCCACCCTCCTGAGTCTCCAAAGCCCGTTATATCACACCATATGCCTTTGTATACTCATAGCTTACCTCCCACTTATAAGTGAGAACATATGATATTTGATTTTCCATTCCTGAGTTATTTTACTTAGAATAATGGCCTTCAGCTTCATTCAAGTTGCTGCAAAGGACATTTTATTTCTTTTTATGGCTGAGTAGTATTCCATGTGTATGTATATCAAATTTTCTTTATCCACTCATTGGTTGATGGGCATTTAGGTTGGTTCTCTATCTTTGCAACTGTAAATTGTGCTGCAATAAACATACATGTGCTTGTGTCTTTTTCATATGACTTATTTTCCTTTGGGTAGATACCCAGTACAAGGATTGTTGGTAAATCTACTTTTAGTTGTTCATACTGTTTTTCATAGAGGTTACACTAATTTACACTCCTACCAGCAGTGTACAAGTGTTCCCTTTTCACCACATCCACATCATGTGTTGTTTTTTGACTTCTGATAATGGCCATTCTTAAAGAAGGTGCAAGGTGGTAGTATCTCCTTGTGATTTTAGTTTGCATTTCCCTGATGATTAGTGGTGTTGAGCATTTTTTCGTATGTATATTGGTCATTTGTATATCTTCAGTAAAGTCCCGGGTTACAAAATCAATGTACCATATTGGTACATTGTACCAACACCAAGCTGAGAATCAAGAACTTAATCCCTTTTACAACAGCTGCAATAAAATAAAACAACGAGGATTTTTACTTAACCAAGGACGTAAAATATCTCTACAAGGAGAACTACAAAACACTGCTGAAATAAACCATATGGGCACAAACAGAAATACATCTCATGCTCATGGACTGGAAGAATCAATGCTGTGAAAGTGACTATACTGCCTAAAGCAATCTGTGGATTCAGTGCAATTCCCATCAAAATACCAATATTATTTTTCACAGAATTAGAAAAATTTTAAAATTCATATGGAACCAAAAAAGAGCCTGAATAGCCAAAGCAATTCTAGGCAAAGAGAACAAATCTAGAGGCATCACATTACTGCACTTCAAATTATACCACAAGACTGTAGTTACCAAAACAGCATGGCACTGGTATAAAACTAGGCACATAGGCCAGTGAAACAGAACTGAGAAACCAGAAATAAGCCAAATACTTACAATTAACTAATCTTTGATAAAGCATACATGAATATGCATTGAAGAAAGAAGACTCTCTTTAATAAATGGTACCAGGAAAACTAGCTAGCCACATGTAGAAGAATGAAACTGGATTATTATCTCTCACCTTATACTCAAATCAACTCAAGATAGATCAGTGACTTAAATCTAAGACCTGAAATCACGAACATTCTAGAAGATGACCTGGGGGATGGGGGGAACTCTTCGGAACATTAGCCTAGACAAAGAATTCTTGATTAAGAGCCCCAAAACAAATGCAAATAAATAAACCTAATTAAAAAGCTTCTGCATAGCAAACAACAAAAAAACAAAAAACAAACAAACAAAAAAACACACAAAAAACCGAGTAAACAGAAAACCCATAGAATGGAAGAAAATATTTGCAAACTATGCATCTGACAAAGAACTAGTATCCAGAATCTATAGGGAACTAACACAAATCAGCAGAAAAAATAGTTCCATCAAAAAGTGGGCAGATGACAGAAATAGATATTGTTATTTGACTCAAAAGAAGACAGGAGTCCATATCCGTCTCTCTGTGTAGGCCTCAAGCCAGTATTTTTACTAGAAAAGGTTCAGGAAGTGGGTTTGGAGATTAATTGGTGATTGGTGGAAGGAAAGGGAAGGTCTGGAAAGTCCTTGAGCATGCACAGTCATCTCTTCATGCTACATCATGGGTTGTATGTCAAATTCAGGGGAAGGTGGTACAAAACATTTGATTGAAATTTGGGCTGTGATGTTCACAAGCTGCTTCTGTGCAGTCTCCAGCCACCTTGGCTCCAACATTTTTCAGTCAGTTTTTTCTTGATATCATAAATGGAGGGAGTTCAGCATTTCAGAAAGTTGTTCCCTTTATTATCTGCTATCCTGCAAACTCAAGAATACCTGTTAGTCATTAGTTTCTCACTCTTTGGGTCACAATTTTAGTTTCAGCTTTTCAGCACATTTTTTTTCTGTTCTCATTTGCTATCCTGTAAGCCCAATAATTCAGTCATATATGTAACTATTTGGGGTATGGTTTTATCTGCACCCTTCCTGCCCCAGATACAAAGTCTGCCCAGGATTTTGGACCCCAATGGGGCAGAGCCTGTCGCTGGAAGATCCATGGGATGGGGCCTTTATGGGTGGTGGTGGAGCACTGGCCTCAGTAAAAATCTGTCCCCTAACATGGGTCCAGGCAAGAGGGGGTCTCATCAATTCAGACTTCAGCTGGGGTCACCATGGGACCCACCAGACATGTGGGGTCCCCAGTCGGAGTGGGGAGCCCTCTGCCCTCAGACATTCATGGACAATAAAATAGCCCTAGAGGGATGGCTGGGAGGTGAAGGGTGCCCTTCCCATTGGTCAGGAACAGGGGCTTTCTGCATGGCCCTCTCTCTGTCCCAACCTCTGGAGGCATCATGCTTCCTCTGCCCTGAGTAGTCCCTGAAGGAACGGTTTCTCTGGGTGTTCTCAAGGACCACAACACTAGAGCTCATTTGTTCCTTTCTGGTAACCTGGGCAAATGAAGCCCAGGTTATTTTCTAGATTAAAAAGAGTACTGTACTGACAGCCTAGAATTAGGGAATCTGCTGTCCCTTTACCTAAGACATAATCTCCATGAGCACAGAGGCTGCTCTGGAATCAATAGATCATTTCCCCTCAACCAAACATTTTCTCATGCAACTGGTTTTCTTAAGCTGACTCACCAGCCGCAGTGAGTTTTGAGTAGACCAAAGCTGTTATGAGATTTCTTGTTTTCTTCAGTAACTGGGATTTTTGTGGTTCCCAAATGATCCTAGGTGGCTGATCATATAGAGGTCTCTGGTCCTTGACCCCACTCTGCCTCCAGGTGCCCAGAACAACCCATCATAGGACCTTTCCCCTTGGCAGGTGGACATTGTTCATCTTCCTGAAGCAACTGTGCGCCCATCTTGGCACATTTGAAGACAACAGACCTTGCTGTCCAGGGCCCCCTGTTCTCATACCCTCAGGCAGGAACACACCCTTGGACAGGGGAAGAGACTCCAGAGACCCTGGTGGGGGATGAGGACTGGGTCTGGGCTTTTGTTCCTGGTGGAGAATGTGGTCATCTTGCCGGTATTTGAGACCCAGGCAGGACCTTGGTTTGGGGTGTTCTCTGAAGCTCTCAAATGCAGTGTAACATTTAAATTCTTTTTTGCTTGCAGGCTGGACATGGAGGAGGATGTGGATACCCTCTTACCCAGAATCAAGGGGACATTATTCCAAGTATGAGTGGGTACAGGGCAGGCTGCTCTTTCGAAGGGGCGGGGGAATCACCACTCCTTCTGTGCTGTAGTCAGAGGGTCCTGGGTCTACTTGGGACACAGGGCAGGGAGTGGCTGCACACACCCCCATGCCTCCACACTCCACAGCTTGGCCCCCCTCACCCTGACCCCTCTGCATTGCAGGGATGCCAGGCCAGGGTGCCAGTGGACATAGGGCAGGAAGATTTTTTATTCTAGAAAATCACCAATTATCTCCAGATTCTATAATGTGTCTTCTGTCTCCTGAGTCCCCACCCCCAGTAATCTCATCTCAGTGATAGGTTTTATTTTGAGAAAGGCCTCTCTGAGGAAGGACATGTCTCAAGTCCGCCTCCTTCCCATGATTGGAATTCCTCCCCAGGTGCCCTGCAAATATAGCCCAAGGTCAGTGTTAGGCCAGAGCTGAGAGGCCCACTGTGGGAACTCAGAGAACAAGTGGAGACAGAAATATGGCTGGGCTAAGCCCCTGGGCTCTCCAAGGGGGACAGTAGTGCAGTCTCCAAGTCAACAAGGGAGGAGGAGTCCAGCCTGAGGGACCAGCCTTGTCCTTTGGAGCCTGCCCTAGAGAATTACAGGGTCTAGCCACAAGACAAAGGGGTGCTTGGAATGGCTGGTGGGCAGTTGTCCAGAAGGACTCTGAGGGCTAAGATAGTGCAGCCCTCCCACCCCACAGGGAGGAGTACAGGGGCAGCAAAAGCTGTGACCCAGGGAGAAAATGGTCAGGGCCCTGGCTTGGGCATCTCACAAGGAAGGCAAGGTGGAAGCAGAGCTTGCAGCCAAGGTGATCTGACCAAAGGTCTCATGCTAAGAGGGGATCTGGGATCTGGTGGGAGGAGCCCAGTATGGAGTCTCCCTGTAGGGGTCACTGGAGAAGCTGAGGTAGTGGTGACCCAATGGAACTGATGACTTTGGGATGCATCTGGATCAGCCAGCCTGTGGTGAGTGGATGGAGCTGGGGAGGGCAGCAGACTGGGTGAGGCCAGAAGTAGGGACTCACCTGGGACCTCTCAGCAGAGAAGCTTTGGTCAGTCCCAAAGCTCTGGAGCACCCTCTAGAGACCCAGCTCCCTGCTGGCTTGGTCAGCACCATGGCCAGAGGGAAGACTGGGGAGACTGAGTCAGAAAAGAACAGTGAGAGGAGGACAGCCAGGTGCCCCGTGTCAGGGCTGCTGCAACAGGAGGGAGGCAGCTGCTGGCTGAAGACCCTAAGTACCATCTGAGGCTGGGGACTGGGTACAGGGCCATCCCAGCTGCCTGTGAAACCCTCAGTCACCCTCATTGACCCTGGTGTCCACCAGCAGTGCTGAGCAGCCCAGTTAAAAAGTGGACAAGGCAGGTGCGTGGATGGATCTGGGGAGTTCTTGCTCAGAGGTTCTGACAAAATAAGGATAAGAGAAGAACTAGAGTGCCTAAAGAGACAGTCATGGCTTCCAGGGCACACGGGTTAGGGAAGTGAAGCAACAGGAAGGGTGGGTGGTCAGTAAGCAGAGAGAGGCAGGCTAGATTGTCAGACCCTGCGATGGCTGTGGGGCCATCAGGAAGACAGGCTCCAGGTGCATCCTCAGTGCACTGGGCAGCGCTCAGGCCAGGCTCCCTGCACCACAGCCTGGGGATGCAGTTACTGCCTGGCGTCTTCTGTCAGAGTCCAGACTCACAAACCTGGGCAGCACTGGCCCATCTCAAGACTAGAGTTTCTTGGTTCCCAAAGAGGACACTGCCTCCAGCCCAGGAGGGGCAGCCCTGTCAGGTAGCCCAAACCCCTATGAATCCCAAGCAGCACCTACCCAGACCTTTGCTTCTTCTGTTCCCATTTTCTAGCCTCTCCTGTGTGTCAGCCAGCCGGGAGGCTGAGACCTGGGGTGGATGGGGAAGGGGCTGGCCCTCTCTGGGGCCTGCTCAGGGAGGGGGTCTTTCCTGGGCATCGCGCCTCACCAAGCCCAGAGAGTTGCCTGCTTTCTGAAGCTGCTGTGGAACGGGCCTGAGGTCTGAGAAACTGTCCATTGTGCTGCTGCCCTCTGCTCTCTCCAGCCAGAGCCTCAGTTCAGCCGCTTTTGGGAGAATTCACCATTTGGCCTGCCCATGGACAAGTTCAGAGCTTGGCAGGGGTGACATGGGCTGTGGTTTCCTGGAAAGGTCACCCTCACCAGTGCTTTTTTGCATGAGGGAGGATAACTATTGGTTTACCCAGGAGATGCAAAGAGAAGAGAAAACCCCAATTCCCAGGCATGTGTCTTGAGCCAGGGACAGGCTGGCCAGACCCTGATCCCCTGGGGCCCCAGAGAGCAGCCTACTGCCCTGGGTTCTGTGGAACTCCCCACAGACTATTGGCCATAGCCTCAGGGACATGCCAGCCAGGTGAGGTTGGTGATGACCCACGGGCTTCTGGAGCTGGGTTGCCGGTCCTGGGAGGGCCAGCCCATCCCCCTTGGAGAGGGCCTTTGTGCTGAGGGATGCTCACAGAGGCCTGGGTGTCAGTCTCACTCGCTCCAGGCAAGGGGCCCTCCTGGGGAAACCCCACAGATCTGACTGAAAGGAAACAGCCCGCAGCCCATCTGGCCCTTGCAAGGCTGGGCCTCATGAACCTGGGTCCCCGGACTCCTCGAGAGTCCTATGTGGCCCACTTGTTCTGACAGAGGATATCCCTGCAGGCTGCTAATTGTAGAGCAAGGAATGTGTCCAGCCTGGGGCATGGGTGCTGTCAAAGCACCTCAGGGTGTTCCTGGGATGGCTGCTCAGGGTTTGGGCTGGCTCGGGGCTCCCTGCATCACACCCTCACCCCAGGGCTGCTTGACTGGGCTTGAATCCTGGTCTGGAACTCAGGTGAGAGAGGCTGTAACTGTCAACTGGCCTCCTTGCCACCTAATATAAGGGCCTTTATCCACAGTGGGTGGGATGCCCCTGGGCACTGGGTCCCTCAGCCATCCAGCACCCTCCCCTCCATGCCATGAGTTCCCATGGTCAGCCGAACTCCGTCTGGCTCCAGGTCACGGAAAGACCCCGGGGTGCGGGTGGGAGAGGAAACTGAGCTAAGCAGCCAGAGAGGTGAGGATGACTGAGCAGAAGTGAAGTGCACTTTGTAGCATCAAATCTTGCTCATTGTCCCTCAAGTCCCTCTCCGGACTTACTCCCCTTAGCCAGGGGTGACACAGAATCGGTGACCGACATTGCTTTGGAAGCGGAGAGGTCCAGGCTGCCTTCTTACCGGTCCCTCCCGGGCAGCACACCACCCCTGCTCATGCTGGGACTACAGTCGGTCGCCCTGAGACCCAAGGCCAGAAGTGGTTAAGAAACTACGACTCCCTGCATGCCCTGCGAGGAACACACTACACTGCCCCTCCCTCCAGAAATGCTCACTGTCCAGGCATGCTGGGAATGTGGTCCAGCTTCCCTCCGACCAACAGGCAAAAGCGGTTAAGAGACTACTATTTCCTGCATGCCGGGCCAGGAGGAGAAAGCTCTGTGCCTCCCTCAAAATATCTGCACCACCCCCAATCCCGGCGTATGCTACGATTGTAGTCTGGCTTCCCTGTGACTAAAGGCCAAAAGAGAGGGGAGGAGGGCACCGCAAGCTGCCCCTCCCACAAGTTAAGGGCACCACCCCAAATCCCGGTGCATGCTGGGATTGTAGTCTAGAAGGCAGGCTACCAATGACCAATAGCGGTTAAAAGATTACTACTCTTGGCTCGCGCGCGGTGGCTCAGGCCTACAAACCCAGCACTGTGAGGCAGAGGCGGATGGATCACCAGATCAGAAGTCACGAAGTCAGGAGTTTGAGACCAGCCTGCCTAACATGGTGAAACCCCGTTTGTAAAAAGACAAAAATTAGTTGGGCGTGGTGGTGCATGCCTGTAATCCCAGTGCAGAAGGCTGCGTCAGGAGAATCGCTTGAACCCGGGAGGGGGAGGTTTGCAGAGGTTGCAGTGAGCGGAGAGCCGAGATGGTGCATTGTGCCATTGCACTCCAGCCTGCGTGACAGAGTGAGACTCTTTCTCAAAACAAAACAAACAAACAAAGATTACTACTCTCAGCATGCCTGGCGAGAGGAGCAACGTGTTGCCCCTCCCTCAAGGCACCCTACGACCCCCCATGACTCACAGAGGCTCCCCCCACCCTGGTGCATACCAACTCAGATGCACACATGGGCCTTAAGGCGTGGTGTCATCTGAAAATTTTCTGACCCATGAGCCCACTGCCTTTCTCCTCTCTGGCCAGAGCAGTGGTCTGCCCAGTCTTCAAAGCCCGTCTGCAATGAAACAACCTGAGCACATCCACTCTTCTTCCCAGCATTCCTGCTTCATGGCTTAGTTCCAAAGCTTGATTTTCGGCAGACCAGCATGAGGGGGAAAGCCTCTCAAGAATCCTCAGTAGGGTTGCCATAGTAACTCTAGTCATCCACTAGGCTCACCTCGCCCTTGCCCTCTGCCCCCCATTCCCTAACCTTTCCCATTGCCATGCCCCTCTGGACATGTGCAGTGCAGCCCCTCCCTGTGGAAGGGGCTTAAGACCCGGAGGCGGGCCAGTTCTCTTGGTCTTTTGATCCCACGTGGGAAACTCCCTTCTGGGTATCTAAAACCGTCAGTTGACTGCCTGAAGTGAAAACACCCAGTCCCTGGTAACCTGGCACTTCCTTTTCAAAGCCACTTAAATTTAGCTCTCTCTCTGGGGTGTCACAAATCCCCCAGTGCACCCGTTGAACCCCGGGTTGGATGCGTGGCCCACACCTGGCCTCTCACAGGGACACTCCCGCCACTGTTACAAAGAGGAGAAAACGTCACAGGGGAATAGCCTGACCCCTGCTGCATCCAGTCAGCAAACAGCCCTAAGCGGCTTTGGGGTCCACGTCCATTTCTCTGACCCCTACCCCAGCTGACTCCCAGGCCTTGGGGTCCTAGCATGGAACTCGGCATAATTAAGGCAGAACAGGGGGACCAGAGGGTCCCTTGGTCTCTCTCCACACGAGGGAAGTTTGTGTGGTGAGGTCATGGGCAGTGTCTGCGTTTCTGCCATGAACAGGGCTCTAGTGGAAATACTTTCATTATCCCTTTTTAAATATCCCTTTGGACCAGTTTTAGTAGTTTGCTAGGGGACCTTATTATAAAATATTATACATGGTTACATAGTGATAACAGTGATAAGTCTTAATTCATTTTTTTTCATTTGGTTTTTAAGATTAAGTACTCCACGACTACACACTAATGAAACCAGTGTAGACAAAGCCTCAGATTATGAACCAGGGTCACCTGTGGAAGGTCCCCGCTGAAGCCAGTCAGCCTATCAGCCTGTCCCTCAGTCCCAGCAGTGAAAGTCCTTCCTCCAACAAGTCATTCAGTTGGCTGGCAGCAACCCCTGGTAGGATTCTTTCTGGAAGGCATCTGCTTTTCATCTTAGATTGTAACAGAAACTCAGGATGAAAAGTTTTCAAGACTTAAAAGCCCAAGTCTCTTATATATTTAGTGTAATTTTGGGTATTAGAAAATCGGTATTTTCAGCATCTTTGAAATCACAATGCAAAAACAGCCTCAGCTTCATAAGACCAACCCTTGGTATCTCTGTTCTGCGAAGTAGGCTAAGATAATGCCACAAAAAGCAGGTTGTACACAACAATATGCTCACTCCAACAACAGAACTATCACACTTTAATTCAGGGGGTCTTTAAATTATAAGACATAAAAAAAACAACTCTCTTGAGAGGGAAAATTTTACATATCAAAAAGTTTCTAGAACATAACATTTACATCTTATAACAAATTATGTGCACTACTCTTTTCCTATGAATACATTAGTTTTTCCATAATACTTTTCATTTTTAGCTTGAAAATACCAGTTGCTTAAAAAAAAAAAAAAAAAAGACACAAAACAAATCCCCAGAAATGTTTTTTGTTTTTTTTTTTTGAGACAGGGTCTTACTCTGTCACCCAGGATGGAATGCAGTGGTGAAATCTCAGCTCACTGCAGCCTCAACCTCCCTGGCCCAAGTGATCTTCCCACCTCAGCCTCCTAAGTAGCTGGGACTACAAAGGCATGGCACCACACCTAATTTTTGTTTTTGTTTTTTGTAGTGATGGGGTCTCACTATCTTGCCCAGGCTGGTCTTGAATTCCTGAGCTCAAGCGATTCATCTGCCTTCGCCTCCCAAAACAATTACAGGTTGTAGGCCACCATCCCTGGCCTATTTTTTTTAAAGCTGATAAGGAAATAACACACCAGTGCCTTCTGGGGGAAAAGCTTTCAAGGAAGCAGTCATTTGTGGTAGAGATTGTAGAAGATGCTATCATGGTGAAATGGGGGAACTAATCCAGAAAATTTCATACTCTCTTTTTTTAGCTCTTCACTCCAGTCAGCCTCAGGTACAAACATTCTTGACCCTCACTTCAGTAATACACTTTTGCCTCTCTCTCTTTTACACTTTCTCCCTGTAGCTGATTTTTTGTGACTCCTTGGCAGGAAAAGAGAAAACATGCTATATATTGAGCACTATTATGTGTTATGGACTATGGTAAATACCTTCAAGAAGGAAGTCTGGGCGAAAAGGGCTTCACCTCAGTCTACAGGATGTACCTCACAGGGTCTTTGAACGTTTGGTGACAGGCATTCTGGGCACATCTTCTAGGCTGAAGTGTAGCCCTTATGGGACAGACTCACTCTAGAAGAAGCTCAAGTCCCACCTCAAGATTTCTGTCTCCTCTGTTTGGGGCTGTCAGGGGGACAGAAGCCAAGGGCATCCTTGGGGATCGGCCATAGGAGCTGCTCCCTGGGTGGGGAGATGGAAGCTAGCAGCTCAGAATGGGGACACAAGGTGAGTTCCAAACAGCTCTGTCACAGAGAGTGTCAGCAGAGCTTTGTGACATCAATTGCAAAGAGAAGGGGCATGTGATGGAAGAAGCCCTGAGTGATGAGTCACAGCCCATTCTGAGGAAAGGGAGAAGAAAGTAGCTTCCTGAAGTTCTCTTGCCTTATTAACCCATTGCATTTATTCTAAAGGCTCCTGCCTAAAACAAAGACATTCCACTTCCATCTCCTTCCGTGTTAAGCCAGAAATATGTGAGTTATAATTCAAGTGCACAGACCTCTCTATTTTATTCCCCCTTAAATGATACTTGTAATACTAATACGTTCCTCAAAATTTTTACCTCACATACGGGAGACAGAAGAAATAGGGCTTCAACACTGAATTAATTAAAAATAATTCAAGTTAATTATTTTCCTTCATGCCATAAATTGTAAACAGAGTTTTCATTATTCTTTGGGTGTTGTTACATGCTTAAGCAGCCAAGCAGGCATCTCCTTAATCTTTACTAATGATTCCAAGGAAAGGCAAGTGTACTTCAAAGTATGTGAAATGTAGGGGGTGAAAGAAGAAAAGGTTGTAGCTGGAGCTTCCAACATTCGATCAGGTTTAATTTATTTACTTTGTCCCAGTACATAATTCTATTATTTTTATTTTTGTTTGGTACCTTTTTTCAATTTTACTTTTGATTGACAAATAGTAATTTACATATTTATGGTGTACAATGTAAAATTTTCATACATGCATACATTGTATAATGATCAAATCAGGGTAACCATCATATTCACCACCTTAAATATGTACTATTTATGTTATGAATATCAATGGAATTAAAATGAAAATGTTTATTAGTGGCATCCTTGCCTCAATTTGTTTTACACATTAGTGTCTAAGGCTATGCACTATTCAGTTGTCCACTTCAGTGGGCTTTTTCAAGTTAATTTTTTGTTCTCGAAAAGAAATACTGCTCCTATCATTTTCTTCAGTCTCCAAATTTAAATGCACAATAAACGTTCTGGACAGTATAGAAAAATTACTAGACTGAGGATTGTGGTAAATTCCAAATCACATTAATTGGAATAAAGGGTATCCACAGGCTCTTCCTTTATTCATGTGTAATTGTTAGCTGTGGTCATCAACACTTGGAATTGTCTAACTGACTAATATTTAGCTTTGTAATAAATGTTAAATATTATCTATATGGTATTTTGAGTATTCTATTAACAAGGAGATGAATCCTCTTTCATATATGGTAAATTACTTATTCATTTATTTTTACTGTGCACATTAATATTTTTAATATTGTATGTATTGCAGATTTTTGTGTCAGTTTTTTGTCTTTTAACTCTCTAATTTTAATATATTTGAATTTGTTAGTTTCTTGCTTTCTCTTTTCTTTATATCAAAAACTGCCTATTCTTTATCAAAAAATAACCCCTGGTGACTTCCGCAAGTTTTCCAGTTGTATTTTGCACATTTGAATCTACAACCAATTATTATTTAAAGAATAGAGAGGAATGAATGCATTTTACCAATTAAGGCCAGGTTCGTGATTCACACTGCACTCAGGAGTTTGAGACCAGCATGGCCAAGATGGTGAAACCCCGTCTCTACTAAAAATACAAAAATTAGCCGGGTGTGGTGGCAGGCACCTGTAATCCCAGCTACTCGGGAGGCTGAAGCAGAAGAATCACTTGAACCTGGGAGGTGGAGGTTGCAGCGAGCCGAGATCGCGCCACTATACTCTAGCCTGGGTGACAAAGCAAAACTATGTCTCAAAAAATAAATAAATAAAATTTAAAAAAATAAAGAAAAATATTAAAAGTAGGAGATAAAAAACAGAGGTAAGCCACAAATTTGTAGGCACCATTCATACAGCCTTTATAGAACCCAGAACAAAGATAAATAAATATTGAGTATAGGTATTTAATATTTAGTCAAATATTGTTAATAGATAAGGATGAAAAGAAAACATTTTCAAAAATATGAAGACAAAGAAATTTTATTACCAGATATTCTTATTATTATACCTCAGAAAGAAATGAAAAAAAGACACTTGTAAACATATGGGAATTATCTATCATATATATTAAACTAAAAACGAGAGAATTGACAGCATTAATTTCAAAAGTATTTAGACACATTTAAACTGTAAGTTCATACATTTAAGTTAAATTAGATGGCAAGTTCTGTACTACTTAAATAATTTAAGTGGTGACAGAACAATCTGTTTTTAATAAAAATAACTTGTTAACTTTCTGTCTCAGTTTCCGTCACACTGATTATCTTTTTATCATATCTGAGTAGCACTGAAGGACTGACAGTGGCATATACATTGCCCACAAGCTTCTGGACACCCAGGACAACAGGGTCATATGCCCATGGCAAGGCTGAGGTAAATAAGATGATGAAATCAACCCAGTAGATGACCACAAAGAAACTCACTAGGAGCAAGATGGTCTGAGTGGCGCTTTTCTCTGGGGAAGGTCTTGGGGAGAGGCTGGTGCTGTGAAAGTATCGGAATTTCCTCTGGTGCCTGAACAAAAGAACCACCATGTATGCACTTGAAAGCAGCATTATTCCTCTAAACAAAACATTTCTGGATAATGACAGAGTAAGAAACAGTCTTCTGATGATTGAGTTCATGGTGGAAAAGTGAATAGTATTTACTGAGACGCAGAAGAATACTCAGGGTCACATTGGAAGAAGCTATAGTGTACAAGATGAGATTACTACTGAAAAAAAAAAAACTAGAAAAAACATAAAAAGAAGAAGAAATGGCAAGTGAAAACGGTAGATTTATGGTTAAACCTCACCGACCAAGAGCTGCTGGGGCTGATAGAATACTCACTGGCCTGCAGAACACTCAGGAGGCAGGTGGTGCAGATGGAGAAACTTCTCATCATCTTGTTCAGGTAGGAAAATACGTTACACTTAGAAGTCATTCTGAAAATACAGTGACTCAAACCGACCTGGAGAAAACAATGACACCACAGTGAGGAGCATCACTGTGTGGAAGAGGGCCAAGTCATAAATGGTCAGGTCAGTGGGCTTAGGCCTGCACTACGGAAGTGTGAAGACGTGGAAGAATGAGGAAGCTGATGGTTGAGATTCCAATGCCAGCTTGGAAAAAAGAGGTATTCTTTAATGAAAACGTAAGTGAAATGTAATAATCTAAACTGAGAAAGAGAAACATATTTTGAGTATCTCAAAATAAGACTTTACACCACAAATGTCATTATGGTATGTTCAAAATCATCCCTAACATGTTTTAATCTCATAAAATTCTTTATTCATTAATTCTAGTACATAAATTTTCAAAAATGCTCTCAGCATTATTTTATACACTATATATAGCATACAAATATATATATATATTCCAAGAATATTTATGTGTATACATAATTTAATTTTTTTTTAAAATCTGACTCTCGCATCACAGCATAAATTTTCTCAGCCTCTCTTTCACATTTAAGAACTTCTGTGATTACCTTAGGCTCACACTCAATTCAGATAAGATCAGGTGCATTCAGGTTGGTATGGCTGTAGACACCAAACTCGTAATTCAAATTAATCTCCTTATTTTAGAGTCAACTGATTATCACCCTTGATTGTATCTGCAGCCTCTATTCGTCTTTGTCATATACCATAATATATTCCTAGAACCCAGGCGTTAAGACATGGGCACTTTTGTGGGGCATTATTTCATTTATCACAACTCCTACTGACTGTATTTTATTTAAATAATCCTGGCTCTGTCCACCTTGTGTTTCCATCCCAGAGAACCCTTATGTAAACTTTTTTTTTTTTTTTGAGACAGGGTCACTCTGCTGCCCAGGCTGGAGTGCAGTGATACAATCTCAGCTCACTGCAACCTCCAGCTCACTGCAACCTCCACCTCCCAGGTTCAAGAGATTCTTGCACCTCAGCCTCCCAGGTACCTAGGATTATAGGTGCCTGCCACCATGCCAGGCTAAGTCTTGTATTTTTAGTAGAGACAGGGTTTCACTATATTGGTCAGGCTGTTCTCAAACTACTGACCTCAGGTGATCTGCCTGCCTTGGCCTCCCAAAGTGCTGGGATTATAGGCATGAGCTACAGCACCCGGCCTGTAAACTTTTATATCACGGAAGAAAACTGCAACCAGCATGGTGGCTCATGCCTGTAATCTCAGCAATCTGGAAGGCAGAGGTGGGCAGATCATTTGAGGTCGGGAGTTCAAGACCAGCCTGGCCAACATGACAAAACCCTGTCTCTACTAAAAACACAAAAATCAGCCAGGAATGGTGGCATGTGCCTGTAATCCCAGCTACTCGGGAGGCTGAGGCAAGAGAATCATTTGAACCTGAAAGGCAAAGGTTACAATGAGCTGAGATCACGCCACTGCACTTCAGACTGAGTGACAGAGTTAGAACCTGTCTCAAAAAAAAAAAAAAAAAGAAGAAGAAAACAAAGAAGATTGCTAAAATCCAGCTCTCAATATTAAAACGACCTACACTACCATTCTCTGCCTTTTAACTTAAAATAAATTACATTAAAATGATAACTTGTTGATCATTGTTGAGACTTCAGTTATTACAGAGATATCCTTTCATGCCCTGGAAAAATACTAAGGTCTTTAATACTGAAGATAATTTGCTATATCTTAAAGAGAATATCTCTGTATCAGAACACTTTATAAATTTATGAAATACTTTTGCATTACTTTCTCTTGTTACTGTCCCTGAATATAGGCACTATTATTGTATCCAATTAAGTTAATCCAGGGCTTAGAATAATTTACCTTTATAACACACACACACACACACACACACACACACATTAGCAAATAAATTACTCAAACTTTAAGATAAAAATGTTAAGTTATGATTTCGAGGTCACTTACAATTATACCAACTTAT